GGAGCACTGAGCATTCTGAAGAGTTCATCTTTTGTGATATCACGTCAAATAGAACCATACTTCTTGGTGAGATCAAGTCTTGCTTCAGGAAATTTGCCAGGATCTGCCAGGTAACCATGGTGCCTGGCATCGATATAATATGGGGCCATTGCTTTGGGTGGATGCCTTTGTTTTGAAATGGGTTTTCAGTGTAGAAAGAATGAAGCAGGTTTAAACAAAATTTCCAGACATTTTGGATAATAGAAGGCTGTAATCACAAGATAGCTTTTTTACCCAATTTCAGCAATGGCAAGTTCTGAAGCCAACTGCATTTCATTATTAACTTTAGCCGTGAAGGCATCAGCACCCTCTTCTACCAACTGGACACCATAATCCCTTTTAAGTGGTTGGCTGGTCATACCTCTCCCAGCTGGGTTAAGTCATTAGGTTGAGTTGGATCAACTTAACTCAAGCCAATATGGTAGTGTAGTTTACCGAGACTCAAAGTGTCTGAAGCTGTGTCCTTCATTAAACCCAGATTTTGGGATTCAGATGTAAAATGGAGTCTGACCTCCCTCAAAGCCCAGGTGAGGCCGGTTCCTCTTTGCTTTTCTCCTTTATGACCTCTGCCACATTTTCTACCTCTCCTCCAACCTCTTTGTCTTCTCTCTGGTTTCCTGGAGCCACGATTCAGCTTTAAGTTGGTGATACCAACTCATGGCAGGGTCCACAATAGGTCCAGGGCCCTCGGCCTGCCTTCCTGCATGAAGCCAGCCATGACCCAAAGCCCAGGACCTCCAAGCGCAACAGACCATAGGCTTGTTTTCAAAGTAAAGCATGAGTAGGTGCAATATTTTTGAGCACTTGCTTTATATGCAAGACCAGCTGCCTTAAGGTCAGTTCTGACTTATGGTAACTTTTTGGAAGTAGTTTGTCAGGTTATTTTTCCAAGGCAACTTTGGATGGATTTGAACTACCAACCTTTTGATTAATAGCTGAGTGCTTAAATGTTTGTATCACCTAGGAACTCCATTATATGGGCAAGCCCCTAGGAAAAGTATATATAAGTGTATTCTCCTAGAATAATCGTACACTCCTGAAGTAGAGTCATGTAACAGATGAGGAAACAGGTTCAGAAAGTGAAGAAAATTGGTCAAAGTTCCAATCTACTGATGGATAGGTAGACTGGGGGATTGAAAACTACCTGCTTGTTTCTGCAGCCTAGACTTGATACTGCTCCATGTGTAAGACATTATTGTGTCATTGCAAAACCCTTTGAAAGTTAGCAATAAAAGTAAAGCACAGCAAATGCCACTTTAAGTACAATAGTTTGAACCATTACTATGTACTTACATACCCTTGTTTTTGTTGTTGTTGTTGTTAAGTGCCCTTGAGTTTCTTCTGACTTATTGTGGCCCTATATAAGGAGCTCTGGTAGCATAGTGGTTACGAATCAGGCTGCGAACCTTAAGGTCAGCGGTTCGAAACTACCAGCTGCTCCGCGGGAGAAAGATGAGGCTTTCTACTCCCGTAAAGATTTACACCCTCGGAAACCCTATACAGGGTTGCTATGGGTCGGAACCGACTCGAAGGCACATAACAACAACAACAACATATAAGGAGCAGCTGGTGTGTCTGCACTGCTGGCCTTGCAGTTAACAGCTCAGTGCTTACCCGACAGTAAATATGCAAGGGCTCTGTAACCACAATGCTTATGCAAGTAGGCTATCTGCTTTCCTAGAACAAACGGAGAGACAACTGATAGAAAAGTGTCATTTGCGAAAGAGCCACTGATAGGCCACAAAGTAATTCCTTAAGGTGACACAAGAGGCAGATAAATCTTTATTATTATGAAATGAGGACCCTCCCCCTGAAATTACCCCCTTCAAGTTATTTCTGGTGATTTCCTAGTTGATGGAGTGTGCGTGTGTTCTTCTGTAGTAGTGCCTTGTCTGAGTTCACCTCCATGGCACTGAAGGGGAAGACTAGATGCAAGTCAGACTAAGGCATTCTCTTTTGTAACTGGGAGTCATCGGCATCAAGGTGTGGAGACGTGACCCTGGCTCTCAAAGACAGCCTACTCATTGGGATTCTGGAAATGGCTAGACTTTGACATTTGACTTCTTGTTTCATTTAAATTCAGTTGATATTGAAAAACAGGTCAATTCTTACTGCTGGGCTGAATCCCTGGGCCATTATGTTGACACACAGACATTTTTGTCTTTCACTGGTACAATGAAGTGGTAAGAGTGGTCCTTAGGGACAGTTCTCTGCGTACTTTGAGTTTTCCTACTTAGTAGCTTTGTAGCCTTACTTTCTTCATCTGCAAAACTGAAATAATAATAAGTGTAATTCAGGGTTATTGGGAGGCTTGAATGGGATAGTATAGATAACATACCAGGCACATAGTAGGAGCTTGGTTGTTGTTAAGTGCCGTTGGGTCTGTTCCAATCCATAATGACCCTGTATAGGGTTGCTGAGGAACAGCTAGTGAGCTTGAACTTCTGACCTTGCACTTCAAACCAACTTTGCAGTCTAGCGCATTAACCTGCAACGCTATGCCAGGACTCCAGTAGGAGCTTGAGAAGGGTCAATTCTTCCTCTCTTTTCTTCACTTGTCAAAATTTTATATTACCCACTTTCTTTTTGACCATGTTTACCATCTCCCCATAACTACAATAAGAGTTTTCTCACTGGCTCTGT